GTATTGTACTGTGTTGTCTTGTACTGTGTTGTATTGTACTGTGTTGTATTGTACTGACAAATGTTTTCTGTTACTGTTCTATTGTTCTGTGTTGTATTGTACTGTGTTGTCTTGTACTGTGTTGTATTGTACTGTGTTGTCTTGTACTGTGTTGTATTGTACTGTGTTGTATTGTACTGACAAATGTTTTCTGTTACTGTTCTATTGTACTGTAAAGCGCTCAGAGCCTGTGTACTTTAATTTTAATCGGGGTTGAGCGCTTTAAAAATGTCATTTATTATTATGATTAAAATCAGCCACTTCAGCGTGAACGCCAAAGAACTGAAATCCTTGGACCCGGCACGGAGCGATCGGAGTATGAAATACAATTTATTATGCTCAAACAGAATTGGAAAAAAAAGAGGCGACGAGAGTGTTTTGAAACATGTTTCAAGAATAAATAAGAATCAAAAGGTAGCCTCGAAATAGAATATCTACAAGTACAATTTCCTGTCGGGTGCAGCCTACAACAGGTGACAGGTGTAAAGGTCAGCATACAAAAACACATTCCAAAGACAATCATACGAGTGCAGAATAGACTATTATTATTGAAATACGATATGAGAATACTTCCTAATTTAATGAAGTACCATATTACAAGTGCAATTTAAGACAATATTGATTTTAAAAAAGACAAGATAAGTCGGACGACATTTCTATTTATATACGAGCTGTCATGTTTCAAAAACTATGAGATCAGGTTAAAATGTTCTCATTCAATAAGTGACAAAAGGATTTCAAAAGGAAATAATAACATTTCTGCTAGTGTATCTGGTGCACATGAGGATCAACTGAGAACATGCAGGCTCTGCCGTACAAGCAAGCTGGTGAGTACAGTGCATCCGTTGGTGAAAAGTGATAATGTGTTGGAGGAATTTGATAATACAAACCTAGAAAGCAAACAGTTCCTTCAGTTCTTAAATAAACGAATTATGCTTGATTGATTTGAAAGGAAGAAAGAACAAGAAAAAAAGGCAAACATAAAATGAACCCACTGCACACAGGACACAGAGACAACAGAAGCAGTGCACGGACTCTTCACACACTCACAACAAGCAGCGGCCAACCATCTATCAAAAAGCTGGTGCAAACATTTTGGGAGCAAGAAAATCCTCCACAAAGGTAAGAAACGTTCGCAATACAAGCATCACAATTGTACAATTTCTCTTTTTCTCCGTCCTTTTCTACTTGACCAGCTATGTCATGTGTCATAAATAGAGCGAGAGTTTGGTGAACCAAGGAGCCACCAGCTAAGGATTAATGTATTATAAGTGTCATTACTTTTTAAAGAAATTTTAAAAAAACTTTTAGCTTTCTTAAAGAGCAAGATTGAACATTGTCCCATACGAACTGATTCTCAAGGTATGAAAAGCAAAGCCAATATAAAATGAAAAGAACAATGAGTTATTGCTTGAGGGAGTGAGATAAAAGGGAAGTATTTTAAGTAAAATGAATCTTCCGTCGCAACAAGTCATAATTTGTTAAGTTTCTTATAATTATCCAAACCTGCATGT